AGTATGTCAAAAATCAATCTACACATTGAAATAAATAAAATATTTAAATTGAAATTAGACCACAAGTAGATAAAATTGATCTCCTATATCATATCAGATACCTTTATTAAAACAACAACTGGTAAGAAATTTTCGAAATTATTATAAGACAAAAACAAAAACATCTTCAATCAATCAAATATATTTTGACGTCCTCAGAGCCGTGCGTTTTCGACACTAAAATATTTAAAATCTGATATAAATTGCGCTCTTTTTCATGTTGTGAAACTCAAATTTAATATCATATTATCCTAAATACACAAAACAAATGAAACTGATACAGCAACGGACAACTGTGAACAAATTAAACAATTTATTGAAAGAACTTAAAAATCTTAATTTGTCAGTAAAAATCTAAATTGTTTGGAAAGGAAAGAAAATTAATAATTTCTTTCTTTTTTCTTGGTTTCTCTTCTAACATACGTCAGTAATGTGTATTTGAAGCACATTAATGAGAATATATGGGAATACTTATTTTTATTCATATATTTATAAAATACTAATTTTAAACCCTCTTTGGTTGTTATGTCACAATAGGAAGCACCTACCAATTTTAGTTCACAGCTGGAGTAAAGTAGCCTTCTGTGCTTGAAGTACTATGCCATTCTATATTGTTGACAGTTCATGGTTTTATAGTTGTTTTTTCCAATTTTGATTCTCGTATTTGTTGTGGATGTGTGAATTTCATACAAGCACGCGACTGTCAAAAGTTTGTTCAAAAACAAACCCAATTATAGAATTTGGAAAATCAAGAGGAACAGTCAGAGAAACAGTTTGACAATGGCGTTGATATTAACATTTAGACTAACAAATAAAACCGCAAATATACAATTACAATTTCATTAATTTACGGAAGGCATTAAAAAATTCTTTATATTGAATTTGATTTCACAATAAATTTAAATAAACCTGCGGTATTGTTGGAATAGGTAAAGAAATTTTGTAGAGGTCTCCCAAAATTAATTGTTAATATTTCCAATTTTTGTTTGACTGAGAAATAAGCAGAGAATTTTGGATTTTATATTTTATGTCTATTTATTTATATTTTATGCTTTCATGAGATTGCTACGACAGATATGAACAGAAAACAGTAAGTCTGGATGCAGACATAAAGAAAATTCCAAAAATTGAAATAAATATTATTAATTAATTATTTATATGAAAACTGAAAGTTTTCAGTCACATAAAGTGACTGAGGCCATAATTGAAAATCGTTTCATGATTGAAAATAGATTAACTAAGATAACCCCAAGCGCAAAAAACCAAGGATTCATCCAGGCTAACCATTCTTACGAAGAGTAAAACGAAACATTCATAGAAGCAAGGTTATATTGCATATTTGTTGGGATCAGAAAGTAGTGGCGTATTATGAGCAACTAAATGCTGAACATTACCAACAAGTGATAGATTTGCACGATGTTGCTCGACTACATGACGCAGGACAAATAAACATTGGAACTCTTAAGCGGGAAACTCTACCGCATGTGCTTTTTATTCAACAGATTGCGTTCCATCATATTACCACTTGTACTGATCAACGCAAAGTGCTGTTTAAAACCATCACTTCAGAAATCACAAAGAAATCAAAAAATGCTTCGATGTATGAATCAAAGAAAGAATGTTCAAGAAAGAAAGAAAGATGAAAGATGTTCAAAAGCCATAGCTAAGAATGGAAAATATATTAATAAAAATAAAATTTATGGAAAGAAACGTGCTTTTTTTTGGCAAAATAATTTAATACTAGGCTATACACCTAATATATTACAGTACATTGTTTTTACATTTATTTGTTAATATTATTCACTTAAGCACTTATTCATATTTAGTCAATTGCACTCAATTGTTTATACAAATTCAAATCGATTACTCGTACGATTTATTCAAGCCTTCACCTTTTATTCTATTTATTTAATAGAATAAAAGGTGAAGACCAATATATTTATTGGATTGTTGTTCACTGTTAAAATTTACATAATACGCTCCAAGCCTTGAATATTTAAACAAGACTTTTCACATAAAATCCCTTGCTTGTCTTTGCTTTAAATGAACATTTTGCATTTAAGGATATTTATTGTACTTCACTCCCTTTAGGAGCTTTCGAGAATCAATCTGACATTCATAAGGCAGAAGTTAAACAATATCTATATAAAATTTAAATTTAAGTCATATTTATTTGGGATTAAGTCTTAAAATTATTTTCCGAAATAGGTTAATAGAAAAAAGTTAAAAAAGGCAACGTCATTATGTAAATTGTTTTTAAAAGACTTTCTTTGTTCCGAAAATAAAATTATTTGCGGTGCTTGTTGTATACTGCGGCATTTAGAATTAAATAATAACTTTTGTTTGCCTGCAGGATGCCTTAATCGTTATCTGCTTCTGTTTCTGAAGCATATTGAAACATGTCTGGCTTTGTACTGCCTGCATGTATGATAAGTGACGCGATTAATTAGTTCTAGTCAAAATATTTCCCAGCGATAAAAATAGTCAATTACAAAAAAAAAAAATCATCAGGTAAGTGATCACTGACAACGACAAAAAACAATGTAATATTTACGTATCTTTTTTATTTTTTGATTATGCTAAACAATCAAGTAGAAAAAAATTGTAAAATTTTCTTCATGAATCGTCTCTTCCACGGGTACCCCTACTTCGATCCCTGCCCCTGTCAGCTACGGGCGTAGGCTAATTTGTGACCATTTTTTGCGAAAGGCAAATAGTGAGTGGACCCTTACTCTGTCAGCAGCCAGGTCAAGGGCTACTTGGCCCATTTATTCCAAATATAGAACCTCTGACTTAATCTGTAGAAATAAATCTGAGGTTTCTAAGCTAGTATCTATCTTTACGGGTCACTGGTCCATAGGACGGCATGGAGCCAGACTTGGCCTTTCCTGTGTTACCTCATGTAGTGCGTGTCTACCAACACTTGAAGAAATGACACCAGAACACCTGATGTGTTTTTGTCCAGGTCTGGCCAGAACTAGGTTTAAGTTTCTAGGGGCCCCTTTCTTCAACTCACTTAGCGATATCTCCAGCATCAGCATTGGCCAGATTCTTGCCTTTGTTAATGCCTCTGGTTGGTTCTAGTTTGACTCTCTATATACTACCCACTTTTACGAGGTTTTTGTGGACTCAAAACGGCTTTCATCCTTAGCTATTTGAGGAGGATTCGTCCTCCCTCCACCACAACTAACTATCGTCTTTTATGGTGTTATCAACGAGATTTTCTGTTATCACTGTTATGTGCAATCCTATTAAATTCGATTCAAAAATATTTAAGAACAATCATTTAACCCAAAAAATTTATTCTAGAAATATGACTATGAACTGACTGGTTGTTCAAGAATTATACAACTACAAAAAGACGCTCAAAATAAGAAAGACATATATGCTCTATATAACTCCTTTGTAATATTAAACCAAATATAATGGCGGTTTCGATCAACTTTATTTGTATTTATTATTTATTGTCGTTATATGATTAATGTCTTAGTTTGCATGTTCTTTATATAAATACTCTTGTGATGTCGTATGATTTCTTAAATAATAGTAAATTATTTTAAAATATATTTATAAACTTAAATGGGGACTACTATTGATAGGATGACATTCATCACTTCGTTATAAAAATGTGATGATAGACCTAGTAAAATATTTTTCTCATAAATATTCTTAAGATTTGTAAGCATATAATATAATTCTAATATTTCAATTAGATTTCAATTCTCAGCAATATTTTTTTCCACTCCTATGATAAATACTTTGTTAATCATAAGTACAGAAAATTGGACTGCATTTTAAATTTGTGTCTATTATACTTGTTCATTCGCAGATTGTTTTGAATAACAGCTAAAGGATGATAAATTTTAAGGAAGATAGACTTTTATTTGCCACTTACATAAATTACAAGTGTGCGCACTTTTATGTAAAATACTGAATAATTAAAGAAGTCGCACAGATATTAGTCATGCAGAAGAAAAAAATATATGTTACCTACAAGGAAGCTTAATTTTTTTAAGAGTTTTATAAATTAAATAATGTTGATAAAAAAATATACAAATGTGTATTTAATATCTGTAAGTAATTTAAAAAAATCATAATAGAATAAAATACTGTATAAAAAAATTTTAGGTTTAGAATATCAAAGGACATACATTATTCCTCCAATTTAAATTATCTCTCTATTATAAATTATACATTTACTGCTTTTATGAATCATTCTCGATAGCATAATTTATAATATATTCCATTTTAGATCATATTTCTTTAATAGTGACAGTGCGAATACAAATTAATAGTGACAGTGCGAATACAAATTAATACTTTTTAGAACTCTAAAAAGACTACACCATAATAATTTTTTAATATTGAAGTATTTTAATTTACAAAAAGTTCAGTTAAACCAAAATTAATTATTAAATCAAAATTATAAATTGTATATTCTGTCACTCTAGATTCTTATTTATTAATTAATAATTAAATTGAACATCAGAATGAGTATTATCTTAATGTAATAGCAAGTTCAGATGATCTTGCCAATAAAAACATAAAATATATTAATTATAATTTAAATATGGTTTTTTTTGTATAAAATATTTTATGTTACTTTTAAAACAATTGCCTTGTATTGAAGATAAATTATTGTTAAATCTCTGTAGTTGACAAGTACACATGTATCTCAAACAAGTTTCATTAATTTTGTTGACAGTTGTCAAACATTTTTTGTTTTTTATACTAGTAAATTGAGTTCATTACTTTGCACTATCACTTATGATAATTGAAATAGTATTTGCATTTATATTTGCAATAGTCAATTGCATCAATTGTCTATCACAGCATAACACATGTACACAGTAATGATGTTATAAGCGTTAACTATAAATGATGTTTGTATATATTGAAATGAAAACATATATAAATAAAAGTAGTAGTAATTGCTGTATTTTTCGAGGTATCGAACTTACCTTATATTCGCTTTTGATGTCACAAATTGTTGTCTCCAGTTTTGGTGAATATACAGGTGTCGATAGTATCCAAAATGGTGTGCAATGCAAACAACCCATCAAAGTTAGTCCAAAGAGCACAATTTTTGCACGACGCACTGTGCACATAGTTTGCCTCCGTAAGGGATACATGACAGCAATAAAGCGTTCCACTGTGAAAGCAACAACAAACCATGCCGAACAGAAACAAGCCAAGCTGCTGAAATACGTAAAAAATTGACAGAAAAAGTCTCGATTGTAAATATGCACATCGACAAAATTCAGCCATTGCGCGAAAAGTCCGAACAGAAAGCATGTGTCACTAATGGCTAGGGCGGCTAAGTAAACACTGGATGAGAGCTTCCGTAATTTAGTTTTGAAAAAGACAAAGACCGATAAAATATTACCAATGCTACCGGTGCAAACAAGTATCGGTACATAATAGAATGACAAAATGCTGCCGATCATTTCCATGGTAAGTAGCATTTCATTGCCGTCTTCACTTCTGTAAGTATCATTGTTGTAGTTATTATTGCTGTGACTCTCATTGCTGTTGCTCAGATTTTGGAAAAAATATGCATTGCTTTCGTTGTCGCCGAAGTAACGCTGCTGCTGCTGTAGCTGTAGCTGTAGCTGTAGATTAGCTGCAATATCATTATAGGTATCGTTGCTAACAATATTTGTTAGAGCTGTTAACGTATTTGAAATGTTTGAGTGAGGAGTTGTTGCGATAGGTGCTACTATTTGCGCATGCAACGGTTTGTAGCCTAAGGTTTCATCGAAAATATTTTGATTAGTAAAGGCCATAATTATAGGATATTGTTGATTGAAGAGGTGTCTAATTATCTAAGGTTGTTATGATTTGTTGTTCGTTGTAGTATAGTTTCCCAATTAATTTTAATACACGCGCTTCCAGCATTTTATACCACACAATGGCAAATTGATTTTGACAAGTGCAATTCTCATTATTTGTTAATGTGACTTTGTTATTGTGTTAAGAACTTTTCGGAAATATTCACAGGAGTATAAATATATGTTATACACTAAATACACTAATAAATTAGTTTGATTTAATTTGCCTTTTTTTTTTTTGTTTATTCACCGCACCTTAAACGCATTTATAAGAATTTTTTTTATTTTTAACATTTGTTTTAATTTATTGCAACCATTTTATATCATAGCTCACATTTTTTGCTAGACACTTTCTATTCTTGATATGATATGTTTGTTTATTCTAGTCGCACACCTTCGTAATTTAATAGATCTTTAGTGTTGAGTTTTTTGTTACCAAAACTTTTCCGTTAATATCTGCCTCAATTTCCACTTGATTTGCTACAATTATGTATTATTATATTTGTTGTATATTTTTGTTACAAGGATTCTAAGACTAGTTTGTGTACAATGGCACGCACATCATAATTTTTTGAGAATCCTTGCAGTGTTTTGTTTGTACAGCAGTGTACGTGATGCGAAAAGCTATGGAGCTGTTTGAGTTATCCTACAAAAACTGTTGAAATCCTAAAATTACGTTAAATAAATTAAGGGTATGCTATTGCTTTTGAAAGTACTCAAATCAAATGAGAATCACATGAATGAAGTGTCTGTCAAACTGTTGAGATTATAAACCAGTAAACGAGAATACAATATTATATATAAAATAAAAGTAATGTAGTATGTATTTTTATAAGCGTACAGTATATTATAGCTTCATATCATAGTCAGAGATTCACAACTATTTAATGCATATATTAATAAAAAATTGAAAATTAAATTTACGATACAAGGACACAATGTTTTTACAATGTTTGATGGCTTTAATATGTTTTAATTTCTATTTTGCACATTTTTCACCCAAAATGTAATCAAATGTTTCTATTCTAATATATGTTTTTCTTATAATCAAAACATCAAAAATGAATTAAAGTACTAGAGCAACTGTCAACGTGACAATAAAATGAATGTTTAGATTTTATTTCTAACTTTTATGTTCTTCTGTGAGCATTCACACAGGCTATTAAAAATAAAGTAAATGGTCAGTAAATAAATATGACAAAAAGTTGCTGGAGTCGTAAAACGTTTTTAAAAAATTGTCCGTTTGCATGAGTTAAGTTTAATTTTATTTACTCCTCTCATTATTTTTACTTATAATCATTGCCGATACAATGAATGAGAGACTTGACCATGCCATAGTGCTGACCAAATTATGACATAATAATAATAAAGTGTTTTTCAGAGTATTTAATTATATTAATTTCATATTTATTTCCTAATAATTCATAAAAATTTATATGCTACTAAAGATAGCAATAAAGCAAACTTTTGTCAATATGTTTAGCTATTTTAATACATGTAGATTTACATGTTTTATAGAATTTCTTTATATTTCAATACTAGTTACAATATCAAGAGCTTAAAAAAGCTCACTGTTAATATTGTTAATATTAAAATTTCTATTTCAAAATTAATGTAATTTAAGAAGTTTAAATATTTCAATAAGAAGTGTTTGTTTCTTAATTTTACGATTTGTGATTTTTTTGCCACCAGATATTTTGTTTGTTCCCATTTAATGGCAACTTAATTATTCCTTTTTAAGAGTTGGCTTTGTTTTTTGTGTCCTTTGTCCTAAATCTTGTTTATGTTATTTTGCTTATTTAGTGTATAAAAATTCAATTAAGCATGAATTTTTTGCTTTTAATGGATTTAATTTATTTTTAAGCAGAAAATCTTTATTAACTCCACTTAAATTTCTTCTGATATTTATAAGAAATAAAATATTTTAATTAATCTTGGTCAACAAATTATTTAATTACATTGAGAGTTTTGCAAAATGTTTGTATATATCCTTATACTAGTATATTGATATATTAAGAATGTCTTATGTCGCCTTTTATTTGGCAAATATCGTAAATAGGTAAGGGTCTTGTTTAAAACTCTTACGTATATTTTGAATGCCAATAAAGAAAATTTATTTTAAAAAATTAATAACAAATAGAGAAACGAAAAAGCTTAAAAATTGCATAGGAACTGAGTTTTAGTGGTAACATTGTGTAATGGCAAGAATTAAATTGTAAAGTTAATTTATAATTTATTATTTTATTAAATATATGCTAATATAAATCGAAACAATAAGGCTATAAAGGTATTCACATAATACAGACTGACATTCAGAAAATTGTGTTTGTGAAATTTCATGAAATTAAAGTAAAATAACACTAGATTTTTCAAAATTTCTTGTGAGAATTTATCTATTTATTTAAAGCAAGTTTTGATTTGAGTTTTAAGCTTAATAGCCCCAAATTAAAACACGAAATTCGTATCTCTTAAAAAAATATTTTTAATTAGTTTTTTTTTTTTTTAAATTAGCTTTTTTAGAGCTTAACAGTCTAACAGCAGATTCAAATTTAGCGAACACCATTGATAAATCAACAGAGAATTTAAAATCGTACAATATACTTTTAATAAGAAACCTTAATCGTTTGTAAAATAGTACTTATTTAGAATGAGAACACTTGTTTGTTGGTCAAAAATATTAATTGTTTAGTAAAGCAATATTGGATTAAATATAAGAAAACTGAAGTGTTTTGCTGTGTGATTTACTGCGAAAATTCTACTTATAGCCATCACTTAAGATATTTTTGACTATACAGCTTAAGTTGATGTTAATATTAATATCAACTTAAGCTGTACACTCAGTTAAGTAGATGGTCAAAAATATCTTAAGTGATGAATATTAATATTAATATTATTATTAATATTATTGTTAATATTATTATTATTATTATTATTAATTTCTTCGACCAAGAAATCATCTCCGGAACTTACGAACGTACCCAGGAAACACCCTCTATATGTTTTATTATATATGCAATTGTATATCTTAAATATTTTTTACAGAATATAGAAAAAAAGTTTTGCACGTTAGTTATACACAGTGGAAATTATTTGTTATTTTTATAATCTTTAGTTCATTTATATTTTTAATTTTAAATATAATAAAGTAATTAGAATTAAAAACATTCATTCACTTCACAGTTATTCTTGTAATTCAAATATCTTTGAATGGAGATTTATCTAATTTTTAATGCGATTTTGTTTAATACATTAGTTATTCATGAATATTTATCCACTTCATTTATTTTTTATTAATTATTTAATTAAAACATTTATACATTTTTTGTGTTAAATGTATAATTGTAAATATATATAAATGTATTAAATAATATATTTTTAACATATACAAATATATATGTAATATTTTATTTTTGGCATATAAAAATATTTATATATAATATATTATTTTTAATATATAAATTTTCTTATAATTTTCTTAAATGCTGCCATAAGCAGTACAAATTTGAACCGTTAAGCTACAGGTTTTGAAATAAACTGAGTTTTTAAATATAATGAACGTTACTTTTAAATATATCAGATGCAAATAATTAAAGCGAAATCTATTATCCTTCGCCGTATTGGAATGTGGCAAAGAGAATAACATGAAGCTTTCAAGGCAATGCAATTTGGCGCCTGCGCAAACCTTTGTTTACATTTTCATTATTAAAATCAGTAGATGTTACTGGTTTTCATTCATTCATTTTAATAAGTGGCGTTTTCACAACACGTTGTCTAACTATGACAAGCCTTGCGGGTACACAAACAATACATGCGTGTAGAAAGCGGAGCAGAAAGCACGAAGCAGAAGTACTCCAAGGCAAAATACTACTGATATTATTTTGGCTTTTTTCTTTCTATTAATTTGCAGTGTTGCACATTTGTTTTGTTTCATTTCATTGTTTCATTGTGCCGGCAATTTCGGGGTTAATAAAATATATGTCAATTGCGCTACAATAAGTGCTTAATTTCGTAGTTTTGCATTAAGCCACACCTGGTTTTGTATGCTGGTTACTCTACTACGCCGTGTTGGTGTCCTATACTTTGTATGCGAGCATAGCTTATATTTGTTATTTTATCATTGTTTTTAATTTTTTTGTTAGGCTTTTGCTACAAGTTACGAGTTATTGCAAATAATTGTAAGGAAAAACAGGAATCAGCGAAAGATCGAAACATACAAAGAATGTCTCAAACATATGCTGAGAAAGCATCAGAACAACCTGCAGTTATACTTAAGGATGATGCGTTGCGAGCACGGAAAACGGGTTCTGCTGCTTCAAATCTATTTGAGCACAACAGACTAAGCGTGGCTAGACTCCTTTTGGAGTCCACAGATTACAATCGCGTTGCATTACAACAAAATCCAACTGGAGATATAGTTTGAGACAACATGTTTTTATCGGAATTATAACAAAAGTGTGCTCTCATGGCAAAGCTTGGAAATTTAGTAGAGAAACAAAAGGAATATTGCTCAAGTTGTCTCCAGGCAATGGCGAAGAAAGAAATAATGAGCAATGAGCTACTATTTCTATCCATTAACTTACTATATATGTTAGGTATCTGCACAGATAATATATATAACATAATAAAAAATATTATATACCCCCACAGTAATGCGTGGCCAAGTACAATTACTTTTTGAATAAAAATGTATGATTTATGTAATGTAATAAATTTTTTCACTGCCTGTGTTATATCTCTGTTATTAGAATATATTTTTCAATTTTATGAACCTACGTATATTATTACAGATGAATATTTTATAATAACAGTACCGACGGTCATTAATAACATTTTTTTATATTAGATTCCATTTTGTTTGTAAGTTGCAGATTTCTCTGAATTTTTGAATTTATTGTTGGCTTTAGATGAGTTTTGTGAACAATTGTCAAAGAATCTATGAATTTTTGTACAGTAATTAATATGTATGTTATTGTAAGTTTCTAACTATCTTAAAAAAAATATGTTTATCGGATAAAAACCGTTGTTAGTTAATATGTAATAATAATTTAATATTTTCCGAGTGTTTACGAATTTGGTCGAAAATAGACCATTCAGTTAAACTGATATCCTATCTTTATTAACATATTTGTCAATTCTATGTTAATTAATAGATTTTATTGAACTATTCAGGAAAAATTACTTTAAAAATGGAATATGCACATCTACAGATTTATTAGATTAACCTGCATTTAACAATGTGTATCAACCAGAATAAGTTTACTTTGATTTGTATGAAAAAAAAAATTGTGTGTAATCCGTATATTAAACATAAAGATTTCTTATGAAATAATCAACTGTATTTAATTTCTTTAATATTATTGTTTTTTTATTAATTAGACTTTTTAAAAAAATTACTACTAATTACTAATATTGTATAAAGTAAAATTAGTAAGACAATAAGACACATACATTTTCCAGTGAATAAGCTTTTTGGAATACAATCTATTTAACACGGAGAACTCAATGTTTCTATTATATAGAACAGTCGTATTACAGCCGCGGCGAAATGTAGTCGTGGAACAATTTATTGGAAATTGCTTTCAAAATTCTATTAAAATAGAGTTATTATCAGCAGTAGAGTTTTGGCGCGTGAACTTAATATATAAAAAAAAGATAAAAATAAAATTGTAAAATAAATTTATGGATACTCAATTAGGTTAATTTGTATTTTTTTTTAAATAAAAAATATAGCAATTTTAATTTGTTAAATATTTCTACATAAATGTTTCCCGTTTCTTTGTTTTAGAAGATGACAAAGTTGGCACTTTGGATGTACTGCTTAGCAGTGCTTATTGCAGATCGCAACGGTTTATCTCAAAGCAATTAGCACAATTGCGTCCCGAATTGACAATGTCGATGTTTTCAGGTAAGCAATCGAATTACAAATTTGACTTTTTTCCTATTCTTGTTCATTTTTATAACTGATTTGTCTTTGTTCAGCTTCTTATTGCATTCTTTTTATTGCCTTTTTTATTGTTTGTTGTTTTTTTTTATAGAAATCACATATCGATTCCAAACAGCTCGTGAAGATGTGCGTGCTTTACTGTTGCAATGTTTGTTGCCGTGGTTGCAAAATATGGAATTGGTCGCTACAAGTGTGCCTCCGGCGACACCATTGTCATATATAATGGTAAGCGAAGTTCTCCGTTGGTACAAAGTATTCATGAGAAGCATAGACAATTGACATGTTAAGATTTTTCCTTTATACTTGTTTAATTAAATTCAAGCTGTTTTAAGATTTAGTTTGGACTTTATGATTGTTTGTGTATTTACTTGATTGATTGTTTTCACTTATATAATATATAGGAAATTTTATTATTTCACTGTAACGTTTTCTTCTGTTCATTTCTTTTTTCTCGTTTTAGTATTTTCCAGACTCCGGCACACGTGGGCGTCGTGAAGGTACAGGATCTGCGGAAGCTACAGAAATGATTCTGAATAATCTCTTTTATATCACAGCAAAGGTGGGATGAAAAATTAATTCTTTTAATATTACTATTTTTGCATTTTTGCTTATAATTATGTTTCTTATTAAATTTTCTTCGTTATGACTGTTGTGCAGTCGTAAATATAGGTATAATAAGGTTTAAATTTGAGTTAATTTTACATACAAAGATTTATGTTATACATATGTGGATTGATTAAATTTTATTATTATAAAACTCTAATATAGAAAAAAAATAATTGTATTTATTACATAGTTAATAAAGTAATTAATAAAGAAACAAAAATAAAGTTGAAAATATTCTTATAAATATTTTTATCTTTTTATAAAGAAAATTTTTTAAAAACCACTTTCATATTTTGATTATGCTTGTATGGTACTTTGAATGTGTACACTTTTCTATCTAAAGAAAGATATAGCAGATAAAAAACTTGAAAATTGAGAGTTTCGATCAATATATTATATATTATTAAATTTCTTCTTCACCTTTGACACACAAATATTGAATCTATTGAATGAGACAACGAAAAATCTAAATTCAATGATATATTATATTATAAAAAATTAAAATCACTTGTTACCAACCAAAGTTACTAACGGTAGAATTATAAAACCTTTTTAAATTTTTAAGATTTGAATATATGTATTAGATCTTGCAGTTTTATTTTAAGTAACATAGCAATTATTGATCGAGAGCGAGTCAAATAATTATTATAAAAGCTTTTTTAAAAGAATACGTTCAAGATATTTTGCATAAATGTATGATTTCAACATTCAAGTTTAATAATAATACAATTCTAGAAATCAATTAATTCCAGAAATCAAAACTCTTTAAACATGTTTGCCGAATATAGTGTCGAAGTTAAAAAGATCAACGATGTGCAATGATTAAGTTTATTTATATAGCTGTATTGTATGTATTAGTTCTAATTAATATGAATAAAAAACAAAAATTGATTAAACATGCGGGTCCCAGGTTCAAAGTTGGCAAGGTTCAATTGCTAACCCTTGTAGCTCAAAAATTATATATGCACAATTAAATCAACATATTTTTCCAAAGATTTTTCCTTTGCTGCCATATTCGAAAGAGAAATTTTCTTTTCATTTTAAAAATTTTCTCACTGTTACCCTTTTCTATTTAAAATAGATTTTTTTACATAAGACATTAGATTTTTGATAAAAATTGTTTAAAGAGGTTTTCGAACAGAAGTGAAACAACAACAAAAATTTATTTTTTTTTTTTTAAATTATTTTAATTAATTGAATTTTTGGCTGACCATACAGCTGTTTCGAGTATTGCCAAATACCCTTCATCAGTGGTCTTGGAAATAATTCTTGTATTTAATTATTCGTAAATAATTATTTTTGAGACTGCAAGTACCAGGAATCGAACTCGGGTCCTGCCAAATATGAAGCTCAGAATCAGCGCACCTTAACCAACTGATCCAAAGCCGTACTTGACTTTTTATGTTCGCATATTTTTGCTGGAGTATTGTTACTTTTGCTATGAAAGTTTTTATTAACAATTTTACTTGCTGTATTTATATATTAGAACGAAATCATAAACCAGCTGTAGAATAATTGAATTAATTAATTAATTATATTTTTTATTTTTAATTGTTAAATTTCAAAACTATTCTATTCGTAGAGGCATTATTTGTTTAGTAAAAAAAATAATTTATATATGCACTTTTAATTTAATTAGTAAAATTCTCATTGCAATACACATTCTTATATATATGTTTTTTTAAATTAAATTTTGTAGTTTTCCGACTCCCATCCGCGTGACATCGAGGAGCTTTGGGGCACGTTATGCCAATTCTGGCCCAATAATCTCAAAGTGATTTTACGTTACTTGGTTATAATGAGCGGTATGGCTCCTAATGAATTACTTCCATATGTAAGTTTAATTGGCGATAAACTTAAGCGAATTTCAATTATAATAAAACATAAACTGAAGTTTTTTATGTTATTGAATTTTCTTACGTTATTTTTTATGTATAATAATTAAGGCCAAACGTGTTGCCCTGCATTTGGCGCGTACTTGTCCCGATCGATTGCTGGACGAATTAATGGCAGAACTTCAAACTGTTGAAACGCTAAATTGCTTAATTGAACGTACAGAAACGCCACCATTTTATCGTTTAACAAGCATGCGAAAGGCATCAAGTCATTCAGCAGACGGTAAGTTCATATATAACATAATAGTAAATGTTTAATAAATTATTTTATTTTACAATTACTTATTGCTTTTTGCTAAAGAATGTGAAATTGCAATTAAAATCAAATTTGACAACTAAAGGATTATAAATGAATTGAAGTTTGTTTGTAAATTATTATTTGCGTATTTATTTTGTGTTCATATGAGTTTGTGTTCTAATGTGTTTGTTGTTGTTGTTTTTTATGAACAATTTCATATAATTTATTTATAACGGAATTATAGTGTGGGTTTTCTATTTTCCTAGGCCAACCAGTAGGTATGAATGATTCCCGTGTACAAGAATTAACTGTGGAAAAAGGTACTATTCACACCAAACGTCATAGCGGTGAAGATCCTATTAAAACTGGGTAAGGGTATTATTGGTATTACCTATTAAATTATAAAAAATGACAGTTATTAAAAAAAAAATTTAAATTTTTGTTGAATTAACATATAAAGACGTTTCTTTTTAAACGATACTCTATTATGTTCGATTCTCCTATTTTCTTTTTGAAATTTCCTACAAATCTCTTAAAAATGTTTAATATTAATACAATTTGACGTTCATTAACTAAGAAATTATAAACTGACTGAAAGAAATTGAGACGTATATTGCATTTATTTATTCTATCATGCTTGACCAATCGTCTATCACTCCCGTTTGCAAGAAACCCCAATAAAGCGAACTATATCGTTTTGTTATCGTTTTGTTATCGTTTTGTTAAAGTTATTAATTTTATTATATTAAAATTAAAATTATTTTAGTTTTAGTATTTTTTCAAGAAACTTCCTTCTATTTTCTTTCCTCCTATTATAACTTTCCTAATAGGTAAAATGATAGTTTGATCTAGTTTGAATGAAATTCTCCTTTATTTTCATTTCTATGCAACAATGATTGCTTTTTTTAATACTTCCTATTACATGACATAAAGATTGACTTGCGCCCACCTCACATCAACTGTCTTACTCATTATTTGCGGAAAGTGTTGTTAAAATGTTATAATTAAAAAATAATGTATACGATGTATTGTAGTGTAAAATACCTTTCACAAATTATTTTAATTATCTGTTATTCGTATTCCTCCTTTTTGCCTTTCTTTCTTTTACCTTTGAACATGTAGAACATGCAAATCAGACAGCGGGATACGTGCTTTTACGCAAACAACAAGTAGACCACCTCGAGGTGCTGACAAAATACGCGCTGCTTCAGGCCCATCCATACTGCCGAGACCTGAAGATATTTTAATCAATGATCCGGAGGTAAATGTTAAATAATGAAAATTAAACATAAATTTTGCAAGTATACATCATTTTTATTGTATTATATTTATTTTATGTTATGCAGTTACGCCAAGATGAAAACGTTGAGCTACGTTCTGCTGAACCACCGATTGCACCACATCCACTACCAATGCCTGAGTATGGTGGCTATTTTGCCCCACTCACTGAATTTCTACCTGATGTCAGTTTGCCTATTAGTGGTTTTCATCGGTAGGTGAAATGAATTGCGTCTTTGTTCAAAGTAGAAAGCTGCAAAATTTTATAAATTTATTTCGCAATATTTAAATATTGTTTGTATATATGTGTATATGTGTATATATGTGTTTTTTTTAAGTTGCAACGTTGCGGTCATGTTGTTAACGGATATTGTTGTTGATGGCATACCTGGCATCGATTGGACATTGCATTTACCCTTGATGCTACACATCCTATTCTTAGGTTTGGATCATACACGCATTATTGTACGGGAACATTGTAAGCAGTTGTGCATAAATTTACTGGTAAGTCATATCTTGTGGGTCTGTAAAGGCAAAGTACAACTGATATGCATTTTATATATGTAAATAATACCGCAGCATTTATGCACCAATGCAGCATTAATGCGCCTTTACATATATATATATATATATATATTGTTGATATATTTTCTTGGGAACAACATTTTTTTTGTAATTTTTTAGATTGTTTTGGCTGAGCATAATGACAATTTGACAGTGGCACGGATTTTACTGAACAGTGAAACATCGAAATTGGATTTAGGATTGACTGTACCATCCTTGCCAGTGATTGATAATAATTTTATAGGTAATTGTTTTATCTACTTTAGCTAAAAAATTATTTTTAATGTTTTGTACTTGAATTTATAAAAGTTAATTCTGTGTGAGATTTCCATTAAAACGTACAAAAAAGTATTTGTCCTCATATGTATATATTAAATTTAAGGTAATAGTCTAAAAATCATTATAAACGAATGAAATCTGATAAAATAATTGAACTAATTTGTTTTCCAAGACCACTGATGATGGGTATTTGGCAATACTTGAAACAGCAGCATGGTCAGCCAAAAATTAAATTAATTAAAATAATAAAAAATTTTTTGTGGTTTTTTGTTGTGGTAGTTCGAAAACCACTACTGTTCGAAAAAACTTCTTTACTTATTTGTTTTCTAACAAAACTACTAACTAGGCTATGAATTTGGATATCATGTGTTATTGATTGTTTTTATTCCATAAACACAATACATTATCCTTCTGAGCAAATGAAAAGTATTGTAGAAAAATATATTATTATTATTATATTTTGGGCTTTCAGAATTGCATCAGGAATTTGATAGTTACTTATTGAATGTGAATCAATGTTGCATAGCAGGATTCCCAACAACACATACGCTACATGGCACACTGACGCATAATCCTACGACTTCCTCAGGATTGCAATTGACGACAAATGCTTTAGGAACAACGATGAGTGGGAATATATTAATAAATCAAATTGGCTATCATCAGAATGTAAATCAACAGCATTTGGTAACCACTTTGGCAACAACTCAGCACACAAATTTGCAACAACCGCCACCAATGAATCAGCAACAAATACAAGTAGCACAATTACCAACAGCACAATCCCAACAAGGGTCGCCAAATTTACAAATTAATCCTAACACTTCTGAGAACTCTGAAGTGCCACTTATTATAACAGATGAAAACGTACCACCGCAGCCTGGTCCTACAATGTTAATTGCGCATGTCATTAAAAGTATTATTAAATTTTTAGCTCAGGATACTTGTCAGCCTCTATGGAATTATGAAGATATAACAGCAAAAGGTAAAATACTGTTTCAAAGTTAATTCAAAACTAAAGTAACAACCTTTAATTTTTCTCTGCTATTAAGTTTGGAGTATTAAGTCTGCAGAGCAATTGAGCTGTTTTCTGAAGCACATGGTTAAAGTATTTGCGGACAGTTATCCACAGGCTCGCATAGCCGAACGTTGGGCGCAAACTGCCCTACAACTTGGTTTATCGTGTTCTTCACGTCATTATGCTGGGCGTTGCTTGCAAATATTCCGAGCATTAAACGTACCTATTAATTCGCGTATGCTATCTGATATATTATCTCGACTAGTAGAGACAGTAGCTGAAACTGGTGAAGATATGCAAGGTTACGTTACCGAGCTACTTTTAACATTGGAAGCTGCAGTTGACAGCTTAGATTCCGATTTTCGTCCTTTGGATGTTATGAAAGATATTTTCAAAAGTACTCCTAATTTAAATAATAAAGACGGTGGTCCTAACTCTATTTTACCAAACAAAAAATCACCATCAGGCATGACACCCCAATCACCAAATTTCTCAATATCAAGTCATGCAAGAAGTACAAGTTACTCAGTATCATACTGTGCCCGAAAGTCAACAAACTCACCATGTGATAAACAAGGTAAAAATTGAATGCTATTAAATGCATGTATGTATGATACTACGTAATTTAAATTATTAACAGTTGAATTACGCAATCGTGCTTCCGGCATTGAAATGGAGAGAAATGTGGCGAAATTTGGCGGTTCGGCACTATCTCGTTCCCGCAGCGCACAGAGTTTAAAAATGTTGGGTGATACTGCCACACAGGTGACTGACTATACGCATATATAATATGCAAAATCTTACATTTAAAATGTATTTACATATATTTTTTTGCTTAAAGGACGATAAGATGACAATACTAGCGCAGCTATTTTGGTTGTCTGTTTCACTTTTGGAAAGCGACTACGAGCATGAATTTTTGTTAGCATTGCGTCTTTTAACACGTGTACTTCATCGCTTACCATTAGATAGACCAGATGCTCGAGATAAAGTTGAGAAGCTACAACAACAATTAAAGTGGACAGCATATCCTGGCGTACATGCATTATTACTAAAGGTAAAAGAAATATGTAAAATTTTAAGATTTGATTTGAATTGATTTGTTTTTATTCAAAAAATTTTGATGTTTATTCAAATACTGAAATTATTTAATTTTCACACAGGGTTGTACACACACTTCCACTTATGAGCCCACAATAACTCTACTCTCACAGTTTGCACCTTTGCTCAGCTTACCAGTTTGTGATCCCACTCAAAGTTGTGCATTTCCCATGAATGTAATATCCTTGCTACCTTACATGTTGCTACATTATGAAGATGCAAATGACATTTGCATTCGTAGTGCTGAAAATATAGCACAGGTTTCATCAGAACTAGGTGCTAAGCTAGAGAATTTGGGCACTGTTATGACATTATACAGTCGGAAAACTTTTTGCAAAGAGTCTTTTCAATGGACAAAGTGTGTAGTTAAATACCTGCATGATACCTATGCGCATATGGGTTTGCATATGCTAGCATTTTTGATTGAAGTGCTAGAAAAAGGACCACAACCAATACAAGTACCAGTATTGAACGTGATACACTGCATGTTACATTACGTCGACTTATCACCACCACAAGCACAAACTATAAACAGTGACTTACTGCGTGCTATTGGAAAATATTTGGATGTAAATTTATTGCACAAATACTTTTGAAATTACTAGTTGTACGATATTAATTATGGCTTTTATATTTTTAGAGTATTAATTGGAAGGATGCTTTAAAAATTTTGAAACTTATTGTAACCCGCAGCTCTTCACTGCAGGTGGTACCACCGAGCGAAGGTGGCAGTGCCGGTTTATCGTTCTCTTTCTATGGCACATATCCGGACTCGGATATGTTTTGTAAAAAGGAACTTGCCGGTCGCACTATGGAATTTACTTTTGATGTATCACAAACACCACTTATCGGCAGACGTATTTTATTGAAAACAGATGATAGCACGCCAATTGGTAACAGCACAGGTACTGCTTCTACTTGCAGCACAACCACCACAACGACCACAAGTTCCACAGTATTGAATGCAGTGGTTGGTGGTGTTTGTGCTATTAATCCACAATCGACAATCGGTCAACGAAATAATAGCAACACAAACACACCACAAGCAAACAACAATACATCAGGCACAACTGCTCAATTACAACAGAGTAGTGCCAGTGCAATAGGTACAGGAACACCAAATTCGCCACGTCGAAGTGCAAGTTTGTCGCCAGCAGATACAGTGCCGTTAAGTGGCTGGAAGCGACCTTGGATGTCACAAGGTCGTGTACGCGAATGTCTGGTGAATTTGTTGACTACATGTGGACAACGTGTTGGTCTTCCCAAGTCTCCATCGGTAAGTACACAATATGAAGCTAAAAGTCCGTGCTGTTTTTTGTTAATATTTTTAAATTACTACTAAAATGCTTTATGTAAAGCACATTTGGTATTTAGTTAAATTACTTAGCCCTTTAAATGATTTGATGTAGAAAGAAAATAATTGAAGTATAACTATTGTAAATAACTTTAATAAAATAATGATATGATTAAACATAATTAATATTTATATTCAATTACAATTGCATGAAATAAATCAGTTATTTATAATTAATTTGAAATTAAACAAAGAAATAACTCATCAAATCAAATCATTTCTTTTTACTTTCATGTTTCAAAATTCTTTTCGTACCTCATAAATACTCCAATTTTTGTTTTAGGATGATTTCATAAACTCAATTTGTTCTAAGGTAATACTCCTTCTGGTTTTAATATATTAACATTTACTAATAATGCTGTGTGTCTTTTATATCTTTTACTGTTTTATATGTAATCGATTGTTGTCAATCGATGCTTTATCAATTTGTTGGCAATTTCTTAAGTTTTTACACACTTTCATTAATATTGCAAGTCCTTTTACATGTTTGCGATTTAAATCACTTACATTTGTTGCAGTTGAAGTTGAAACTAATCATAAATAAAATTTTTAAGTTTCCAATTCAATTCATATTTTTAGTTCACTTTCTAATATTAAAATTTAAAATTCAATATAATTTTATATAATTTTATATAATTTTTTCTTATTTTTATATGTTTAGACTTGTAAAATTCTTACTATAATGCTTCAGACTTTGAGTTCGCAATTTATATATGTATGTTTTACCGTTTTAATAGTAAAACTAATTTTTAATTCAAAAAAAAACTAGTTTTAAGTGTTTAAGTATTAAGTTTAAGTGCTATAAGCTGTTTATATATCAAATAATAAAATAATAATAAAATTAGTTTATTATTTTCATTTGAAATTAATTTTAAGCAGGCGCTTGTCGCTTCTCCTAATTTTTAAGCGATCAGTTCAGGTATTATATTATTTTATGTTATTTGTTTACTATGTTAAAGAAAGTAACTTCAAGTATTTGCTGCAGTGTATGTGAGAATGACTTTATTTATTTTCATTTGTGTCCGATATACTGGAGCACTTTAAGGATATAATGTAATGATCGTTTTAACTGGTTAAACATATAATTTTAACGTTGTAACAACGTTTGGTTTAAAAGCTAAACACAATTAACGTATCCTATATATTTGTATACTTGTAGAGTTTAGAAACCTTTTCGGTAGTTGTAACTAGTATAGTATAAAAATCAAAGTGAATTTAGATTGTAAGTTTAAATTGAGAATGAGTAGTGCGTTGCATGTTAACTCTATCACTATCATATATTTTTGTTTGGTTTCTTTTATATTTTTGCAATTGTCTGTTATCTATCGAAGTCCTTAAGCACGTCACTACTAACTGGATCAGTTACAACCAGACAAAGCGTAAGCGCTGTTAACTTAATCTAAAATTTTTATCAAAGCTTTAATTGTGCAAGTTAATGTTAATTTTTGTTAAATTTTGTTGCGGAAATAATTTTAATAATAATATTTAACTTTACTTTAGGTTATCTTCAGTCAATCATCAGACTTAATGGAACGTCAATCGTCTGCAGCGTCATCTACTGAAGAAACTTCTGGACCGCAAGGTGATCTCAGCAGCGGTTCACGACGTGATGATGGTCAACCAGATTTCACAGTTTTTAAAGACTTTGACTTTCTTGAGTATGAGGACAGCATAGCTGGTGAGTCGACAGACAACTTTAATTGGGGCGTTCGTCGTCATCAGTTATTTGAGGGTGATGAAGAACGGTTTACGTCTGGCAGTGGTCTAGGTGGAGGTGGCTCCATAAAAGGTGGACAGTCTTCGGCACTTGAAGACAGTTTTAGTGATAAAACTCCTATTTTAAGCAAACGAAGACGTCAAACAGCAGACGATTCATCCGATGAAGAGGGAGAATCCGAATCACCAATCGATGAAGATCATCGACAATCATTTATGAAGTCTGCCTTCAATGTCGGCCCACCTACATCATTGAGTTTACGCGAACGACGGCGTAGAAATTCTATTTCGCGTAGTGATACCAGTGGTTCTAGTGCTGGTGACTTAGGTGATATAACACCTTGTAATGCGTCACCGCATTTACGTTTTGGTACCACCATACGCGACGAAGCGGAAGAAAATTGGCGCAAACAACTGCAGGCGATGTTGGTGAATCAACCGTCAGCATATACATCTGAATTATTATTGCAACTGTATCGGCTGATTAAAGAGTTGACTTTTAAAACAATTAGCATATCGAAGGAGGCAAAAAAATATTTTACTGGCATCGGTTCGCAGTTGGGAAATCGCATATCGCTTTTTACGGATTTGCTTAGCTCACGCGCAGATCCGCCTCGTGTATGGTGCAATGAAACACAAGTAACAACACCACGCTTGTATGAAACTTTACGTTTCAATGTGTTAGAAGTGCGCGAACATTTGGAAACGTTTTTTGACAGAAAGGATCAAGTGTTAGAGGTAAATTATTACAACGCATCGGCATGCACAATTATTTATATATATATATATATATATATATATATCAATTATGATTTATATTATGATTTGTAACAGTGTCTGGACTCCGTCAAAGCATCATGCAAATTGTCTTTGTTTAATGAGAACGATGTTGCTGCGTCAAGCATGGAACTCGCAACTAATTCTAACATTAATTACATTTCTTTTGATCCTGCATATACGGAAGTGGTATTAGATTTGGGTCGTTCCCTTTATAAACTTATGTTTCAATTATTGTTACTATTAGAATCGAATCATAAAATATCATCGAATATCGTTAATCACTTTAGAATAAGTGAATGTGTAAGTTAATTGAAAAAATGGTATCAAATAACATAAAGGATATTTATATATAGATTTTATTTTTATAGATGATCGACAATTCAGATTTATATTCTTTAGTGCGTGATGCATTGGTTCGCAGTTTGACTGAAGCAGAACTGGAGTCTTTGGACACTTCCACTTCAACTGAAGGAGAAGGTGAACATACACCAACACCATCACCTAGCTTGCCAATGACTAGTGAAGAATTCGAAAGCACATTACAAGAATTGATTGACACTCAAAAGTGGTTTGCTGCATTCACACATGTGCGTCAATACAAACGAGTTTCGCAACTTATTGCATCAAATACAAATCTAACAATATTTAGCTACAGTAATTTGGACAGCCGCCTTAAATTCGATGAAATGTCAATTATACTCAACACATATGCTCAAAACGTGATGAAAGAACGAATGGGTAAAATATATGCGAAATTATTATGAAATTAATTCTATATATATATATTTTTTTAAACAGAAGCTTATATCGTTTCAAAATCTGATTCAGAATTCTTTGAAGTATATGCAAAGTTGAAAGAGAATCTTTATCATGTTTCAAGTGCACTGAATACAATGGACAAAGACATGAAAGGTTATTCTTGCAATCCTGGAGCTTCAACTGGGCGTGGAGATGGGTCTGATATTGTAACAAATCTGTAAATTACATTTAAGTATTAGAACTTGGAAGACTATAAAAATTACAAACATACAATTTATAGAATATGTATGAATAAGTATACTATAGATTATTTTAAGCACATTTAAATTCATTTATGATATATTTGAAGTCAGTCCATCATATAAATGTTAAAAGTTTCCTTTATTTAGTTAAAATTTATTATAAAATCAAACATCAACTTTTTATTTATAATTTAGATTATAACAAGTTTATTGCACAATACAGTATGCGTAGTAATTTGTAAATTATAATGTGGAAAATAGTTAAGATTATTGTCATTAATGCTAATGTTTTATGCAAGTTTTTGTTTTATAGTTGAAAATTATAATTTTTTTGACTCTTATATATTATTGAAACTATTTGCATATTAAGTAAAAACCTATTTAATACTTATTATATATTAATAAAGTGAAGAGAAATCGAATTCATAACAATAGGCATTTTCTTTTGTAAGCATATCACAAAAGAACAACTGCTTATTTTAAAAATAACATATAAAACAACAACACTGCTGGCTTATTTACTCCAACCTTTTTGAAATTGCTTAACTAATAAGCAGCTTAAATCGCACGGTTGCCAACACTAAAAATGCATCTATTGTGAAAGATTTTTGAAAGTACATACAAAATTTCCAGTTAACTGACAACGAATGATTTTGTTAATTATTCGTATATCGTGTCGCCATTGTTCGTAACAAATATGTTATTGTTTTCTATTTATTATTTTACTGTTAAACAGCGTGAAAATTAATATTTTATTTATATTCATGTAAAAATAAAATATTCTCACCAATAATTGCAAAGAATTATTATTCATTTTCGAAATTTCAACTTTAATTTTTTTAACATGTTTTACACATAAAAGTATAACAAAATCTTCATTTTATACCTAGTTGCAATTGAAAGTATTGCTTAGTTTAATTGTTCTTTTGTGATATGCTTGCAAATGAAAAGGCCTAATATTATGTATATTAAACTATAAAAATTATTTATTCAAAAATCAGCATGTGTTTCTTTGCTCATAATGGTTTGATAAGGGCTCATAATCCGTCCATCTATTTGCAAGGCAACTTAGGCAAGTTGCTGTATGTATAGTATACATTGTATACCTGAAAATGACTTATTTCTGATATTTTGTATTAGTTAATATAAATTAAAATAGAAGAGTATGACATATGGATAAGTTTGTTCTTGCAAGAAACACATGTAAAGTTATATATTATTAATAACCAATATTATATAAATACAATATATAATATTGTATATAGCTCCTGGGATATGGAAATGCATTTATCAGACTAATAAGTTCTAATGACTTTAAATGTGAATTGGTATGTAAAAGTTGATGTTGATAACATCCTGAAGTTGGTCCATTATGACTTTAAGTAAGTTGATGTCTTTTTTAAATGAGTGGTTGAAAGTGTAGAAATGTCTTCCAATATTTTTGGGTCTAATAAAGCTTTGGATAAAATGAGTTTTAAAGTTTATTGAGTTTGCAATGTGTCTACGGAGTTTTAAAATGTGGTCCTAGATTTCACATATAGACTTCGCAATGTCTTCACGGAGCTTTAAAATTTGGTCCTAGGTTTGAGATGTGGTCCTAACAGATTTAGAAAAAAATTACATTTAAGAATGTGATAGAATGAATATGTCATCCATATTTGACCAAATATTACCAATATTAAGAGACATCGTTAATTTATTTAATATTTAATTTATCTAAAATTTAATTTATTTAAAATTAAAAAAATAAACTTCACTGTCATCCAAAACAATTCTGTAGTCATTCAGTTCAAGAGTTTCTGTGAATCCCTTATCGTTAATAGAACGCTTGATAAAAATTTCAAATAAGTCTGTTTATGAAAGCAAATAAAATTCGCATAATTCACATCAATAATGTAAATAATTATTATTTAGTTGATTAAATTAATTCAAGCGCAATATTCAATAATGTTGTATTATAGTAATAAATAAATTCTGAAGAGTTAATAATTCTTCATAAAATAATAAATTTTTATTAAAAACTTATTTGAAGACTTTTGAAGACAGAACTTTAATTTGCCTAAAATAGCAGTTAGAATTATGAAAAATGAACACATTAAAACTTTATATAAAACGTAATTAAAAATTTTAAAAATAACAGCTTAAAATATACAATAATAAAACAATTATAAAAATATCTCTATTCCATGAATTACAAATTATATTACAATAGATAACTTATACCATATTAACCTACAATTAGCTGCGAGCATTCAATAGCATCACCTTTAATGATTAACCTATAGTTTTGCATTTTTGTTCAATTAAGAGAAGCAATTTTATGATTTTGATCATTATATATATGTACGAAAGCAGCATTCGTTGGAGAATGCAACAACTACTTCCAAATGTCATGTGTCATTTAATTTACTATGCTGCATTTATAACTTTTATAACTAATTTTATATTTTGTTTAATTACTGGGAAATAGATTTTTAAGAGCCAGCATTTGTTCACGATTGTAGTCTGATAAAAATTTTTTAGCGCGATTCAATTCGTTTATGATTTGTTTATTATTTGGTGTTAGTTCCAGAGCCTTCTTTAGATCCTTAACTGCCTCTTCATAGTTTTTTAGCTCAATTTGTGCCTGCCCACGACGATAATAAGCTTTACTGTAGTTAGGATTCATTTTAATAGCCTGCATGAAATAATTTAAAAATCTTATAAAAAAGCAATTGGACAGCAATCGTTATAACACATACGTCAGTGCAAACATAAGCAGCATTGGCATATTCGCCCAATTTTAATTCTACGGCTGCCATATTTGCGTTATTAATGACACAAAAGTCGTCCAGTTTGACTAAATCGTTTTCCCTGCAGCCCACATGTTTCAATTCTTGCCAGTCGTATCGATGTCGCAGCATATTGTAGTAACGATGTGCTTTCCGGTATTTGCGCCGTGCATCATAGTAAAGTTCTTTGCTGAAAAAGTGATTTCCAGCATTTCTAATTGTTGTCAGTAAGTTAACCAAATCATCAGACTGCACAATACATAATAAATATATAAAAAATCAAATAAACTATATACTATTCAATAATGAAGTACCGAAAATTCATTGAACTTTTCCACCCAATCTTGTGGATATGGGGGCAATTCATCTTCAGTTTCATCATTATCGCAAAATCCCCAATCTTGGCCTGGCAATATCTCACCACAGTCAACTATAACAATTTCCTTTAAATTAAATATATAAATTCCATACCAGACATTCCAAAACTTTATTCTGAAATTACCTTAGTTGGCTTACTATCGTCTGTAGTGTACTGCTCCATAACAGCTAAAATACCCAGACCGCGTAGTATCCAACCAACAACCACATTTGTACCATTCAGATTCTCGCACGGTACAGAAGTCAAAACGAACTGTGAACTATTGGTGTTTGACTTGCCATAATTAGCCATACTAACCACACCTTCCTCGTGCTTAAATATGTATTTACAGTGTTAATTTAAAGTCAACCTAAATGAATATAAAACGCTTACAGGCAATAAAAAGTTTTCATCTTCAAATATAGGTCCATAAATACTCTCACCGCCTGTGCCATCGTTACTGACTATATCTCCACTTTGTGCTGCAAAACAGCGCGTTATTTTATGAAAACGATTGCCTTTATAGTGTAGCTTTGTATTGTTCAGAGTGACGCCAAGTTCGCCGGTGCAAAGAGCGCGAAAATTTTCTGCACTCTTCGGAACAATATCTTTCCGTAGTTCAATAATCACACGACCACCTATAATATATGTTATGATTATGACCTAGATTTATAATTTTTTATAATTTCCCACCGAACTCCGGTCCTATGGTTATGTCCATAAAAACAATTGGATTTGTAGCGCACACTTGTTTTCTAAGTTGCGCACTTAGGCTCATTCTGAAATCCAGTTTGGGATCAATTTTGACTGCTTCTTTACAACTTTATAAGAAGAAAAATAATTTCGAAGCGATCCAAATCTCGCTAATTACAATCCGCATATATCAAACAGTTTAAATACAAATCGGACAGCTGATTGAGATTTGTTTGTATTTGAAAATGCAAATCTGCGTAGATAAGGCAGTTCGTAGATAAATTTTATAACGGACGTTAACGATTTTATAATAAAATTATTCTTCTGTATATTTAAGTAACTTTTTTTTTTATTTATTTTATTAATAATTTAAAATGATTTTTTTTATAGGAAATAAAGCTTTAATTACGGAATTCAAAAAAATATTATACCTAATAAATGCGAAAAAAAAACGTCACTTAATGTCTATAATACAGTTGTATATGGAAGAGAAAAGAGGTTTTTATGCTTTAAAATATTTCGAACCACTTTTTATAAATTATAAAATAGATTTTATTAAAATAAATATTTTTAAACGAACTGGGAAAAATCTTCAGATTTAATTTACTATTTATTGTGAAAGCTCTTCGAGTTCTCTCCAAAATACATGTATAGCAAAATGAATTATTTTAAATTAATAGCATAATATAATATAAATAATAATATAAATTTCTATCAAAATTAAGCTATCTAGCATCTTTATTTTGTGGACTTGTGGCTCGTATTGAATATTATATCGACACGATAAGAGCGTCATCGTTTACTGAAGCGCGATGCTTAATTGAAATCAAATTTTTAGAAATTCAAGAACGACTTCCAATTTTTAGTTCAAACAGGAATCTATCAACTTTCGAAAAGCGGTTGGGATAGTCTACTTCACTTAGTGCAAGAATGTTGTATTTGTCACTATTCGAATAAGCAAGTTTAAGTAAATTAATCTTTTTTATAATTTATTCAGTTTAGCTATGCACATTATTTACACATCAGAACAGAGCAGAACGAAACTCAAACGTCAAAAATGTAATGTCAGTGTTGCCACTTTCATATATTTTTTATATTTTGATGAAATACTACAAAGAAAATGATGAAATGCAACAATATTGCGGTAGTCAGTGTTGCCACTTTCATATATTTTTTATAGATTAATAAAATACTACAAAGAAAATGATGAAATGCAAAGATATTACAGTAGGTCTAGGTATGTTAAAGCTTTATAGACCGTTACTGCGCAACACAAAAAAAAACAATGATAAAGAGCGGAAAAAGGAACGAAATTATAAAATAATACGTAGTCATTCTCGATTGCAGATCAGCTTTTATCAGTTTTAGCTTTAGAAAAATCCTTTCTAGTTAGCGTTACAGGCATATTCCTTGTATTTTACGATAAATTATGATAAATTTAAGATAAAGATAGAAGTAGCATCATTTTTATCAGTCTAAAATGATTTCAGACTTATGAGCTCATATCCGATAACGGGCATATGGTCAATTTAAATTGAATATCGTCGCAGAGTTACAAAAGTTCTGGTTTTTCTGGAATCTGTTTTACATTGTGCAAAAATGGGCAAGATATGAAGCACTCATTTAACTGATAATATCTTTTAGTTAATAGTTAATTTAATGTAGTGTCCTAAAGGCAGTTTAATAATTCAACTTTAAATTTAATTTCTGAAGAAGTAAGTGCTTAACGCATGTAGCAGTTTCATCAATTCGCGTTTAATACGTCGAAGTCGTATGGTTTTAAAAACAAGTTCAACTTCAAGCTCTTAGTTGATTCCTTTGCTGGTGAAATGAAGTTTTTTAAGCCCGTTGCTCTATACTCTTTCGTATCATATCTTTCATTTTATTTTCACAATTACCGTGAATTTACTGAATATTTAGTATATTCCATATCCATGGTTATATTTTACATTAATCAACAAAGAGTAGGAATAAAAATTTTTGATTTACTACAAAATGTAAAATATGTATATAACTTGAAAAGTACGGATAGACCTCGTATAAAATTAAAGTTGTCATAAACTGGCATGAACATTGAAAAAAATGTTAAGATTTTATTAGAAGAATACTTAAAATTAAATCAATAAGGCGGCATTCGAATGTTACAATTTATTGGCACAACATACTTTTTTTTGCTTAATGTATACGTTATATATATAGAAGTAGAAAAGTGGTATTAAAAGAAAAATTAAATGAAAATAACTCTACAACACATTATATTAGAAATTAGCTATAACATTGTATTTACAGAGAAAATATATAATGCACAAATGAGAATTGCTGAATATTCGATTCGTCTTAAAAAATAGTATGACGCAAATTGTTCGCAACAAACTTAATATTTACTTAAAGCTTATTTTACCCTTTATTTAATTTGTTTATATTGGATTAAATAAAATTAGTTATTATAATTTAATTAATTTATAGTTTAAACTATTATTACTTTTTTATTTTGTCACAAACATTCTCGATGTTGATTAACATTAAATTCCTTAAGGTTCTAATCTATTGAGATTAAAACATCCTGACGGCTGTGCTTCTGATATAAGGCGTACGTTTTGTACTTCATCCTCCAATTCTGATAGCTCTTTCTCATACTTATCAATCCATTTTTTGGATTGTACATTGCGCATATCCTGATATTTTTCAATACGACTAGTGAGATTTACACGATTTATATCGGCTTCCACAGTGTCAAGACGTGTTTCTGATTTCATAGTATAGAACAATTATTAAATAATATTTTAAAATTTTAATTACATTAACAGTTCACCTAATTCATCCAAATCATCTATGTTTATGTCTCTTAGATTTTCTAATTCATCCTTCTTTTTTAGCTTCTTGAGTATCTGCTTTAGCTTGCCCAACCTAAGGAAATATGTAATAAGGTATTTATACAATGGTTATTAATTAAATTAGTGACAGTGTACCTTGCGTTTTGTATCATCCACTGAGTTATCGTCTTTGCTGGAGGAGTCTTTCAATTTACTTATATCGAGTTCGATTACCTTGACGCGGTAGTTGAGTTGATCAGCTTCATCACGTAGCTTTCTAGCACTCTCTTTAATGTCATTAGCTTTCTTTCTAATTAAATCAGCATCCTATAAATTTAAAAATATATTTCATTAATTTTTCTTAATAACCTACACTAACTGAATACGAGTATAAATATGTTATGATTTTTCTTATTATCTATTATTTTACCTTTGAAGCTTGTTCTGCATATTTATCCTGAGCTTCTTGAGCATTTTTCTTTGCTTCATTTGTGATCTTGTTGGCGCCAGTTAATACCTTTAAAAAGATGAATCTGTTATTAAAATATTTTCGAATACTATATAGATTGATATTTTACTTCTCCAGCTTTTCGTATCAAATTTTCAGCGTTTTCGATTTCCGTCTCGATACTGGGCACAGTCTTCAGTGCCAGTTCTGCTTTCTCAGATGATTTCTGTACGTCGGATTGGAAACCGCTTCTACATTATCATTACATGAACATTGACCATATTGATCACACTGGAAGCCATTGGAACCACTCTCATCACATTCGCATGATTTACAACCTTCTGAGGAAAATCCATAATGGTAAACTTCACTTTAATCACAGTGCTTTCCAACTACACCGGGATTGCAGAAACATTGGCATGTAAATTTATCACATGTCAAATTGTAACTACCAACAGGATCACACATGCAGTGCCAGACATAATATTGAAAAAGCCAGGTTGACATCCACCACAATCTCGAACAATTTCATTCGGTTTGCATTGGCATTGGCCAGTTACTTGATCACACTTGGAAATACCTTCCTCATTTTGTTCTGTACCAGGTGGATAACATGTACATCTATCACACTGACCATGTGGTAAAGAGAGTGGATCCCCGAAATGACCAGGTAAACATTCATCACGGTATTATGTGTACACTTTGGGCATTGACCTGTAGTACGGTTATAGTTACCCACAGGAGTTTGTACCTATCCATATAAACTGTTATATTTTATACAACCAACTGAGTAATATATTTATATATATAAGTAAAACGATATGTCTTTTACTTATGACAGCTTGTCTTCGACTGACTCTATATTTATTCAATATATAATATGTATTACAACTAATAATTACAGAGTTGTAATTATACTACTTAATTATACAACATAAACCAGTTGGATCTCCAAAGGAATCATCAGAACATTGCTCACATCGAGCACCAAAGTCTCCAACAGGACATTCAGTACACTACGCTATAGTTGGTATAAGAACATTAATAGTATATAATATTATTAGTTATAAAATTAGTTACAATATTGGCAGCATCAAATATTTTAATAAACTCAATTTCAAGGTTTCTGCATAGAAATATTTTTGAAGATAGTTGGGTGTTGACGAACGATTCTCGTATTGTCGTCTGATGACAGTACTAACGTACTAAAAAATTAATAATGACTCAGATCATTATTTTTTTTGGTATAGTTTTCGAATCACAGACTGTCCGTGACGTATCCAAGGGGGATAATTTTAATATATTTTCACGTTTATATTGTATTTAAGTAATGTTTGTACTTGATATTGAACAATCTAAAATAACATATCACATCAACATGACTGTTACCTACTTATATGACCATAACAACCTCACGCAGCTCTTCTTATTAGTCACCACTGCTGCGTATGTGTCCTATTCATTTCATCCACCTGCCATTTCGAACAAAATTGTCATTTTCGCTGGATCATCGTCCACTCTCACAATATGACCAAGCCAGCGTAGCCACTAGATAATTAGCTGAATTATATCATCGTCATGGTAAAGCTCTTATAGATCGTGATTCATTCATATGTGGTAGTTGTCGCCAACTTCTAAAGGCCTTAAGATGTTACGGATAATTTTGCTGTCGAAATCTCCCAGTGCAGCTTTATGATTCTATGATAAAGTCAATGCTTCTGCGCCATACTGAAGTACAAGTTGGATAGGCCACTTACTTAATAAGCGAAAGTTTTGTTCATAGCAACACTTATTGGCAATGTCTCAGGTTAACATCGTTGTTATGTTTTGACAACAGATGAAGTTTTCAGGTATCAATACCGGTAGCCTATCGGTATTGATCGTTTTGCCTTCATTCGGAGTTGATCGTTTTGCCTTCATTAACCGATTAGTTCAATTTCGCAGATTCCTTTTTGTAGCAGTAACATCATACTTACTAGATTCAAAAATATCGATGTCTTCGG